TGTGCCATTTTTGGAAGTCTACCAATGATCGAGCAAAAAAAAGGATGCTCAAGTAACGTGCCATACATGATGGCCATTAGCAATACGATCATCTATATCGGCAGTTAATACATTGTTATTTGTATTAACCCTTAAAAAAATGCGCCCTCGCGGTGGGAGGGCGCATTTTTCGCCCTTTAACACCATTACCAAAACAAGGTGGAAAAAGGGCTTGTAAAAGGACGAATTTTGCGCCCTTTTAGCTTTTCCTCCAACTCTGCCACCCGTGTTTTATAACTACCAATCGCAGCTGTGAAAAAAAGAGGTAGGGGGTAATTTTGGATCGTCTGGTCATCGCACAGTATTTTATTGCTCCAACGACCGTAATCGGCCCTTTCTACGCGGTCGTACCATGGATCTAGCGGTCAATCGCCTGACAGCCAGTCACCAGAACATACAAAAGGCAAGACGAATGCACCTATCCGACCTCCCATTTTTCTATAGTGTACTCAAGACTAATGCGCACTACCTTCACAGACACTGAAGATAAGCTGCTGGTGCAGATCGCCTTCCAATTCGAAAGGGAGGGCTTACGAATTACATGGGCCTACGTGGCCCGCCGAATGCAGACCAAGCGGCCGGCCCGTCAACTGCGGCTTCGGCTGGCTAGCCTCAAGCGGACCTACGGAAAGGCGATTAGTGGCTTTCCGCCATGTTTTCTCCGCGGCATGCCATCAAGGCGTCTTCTCGGGGCGCTGAGGTCACCACTACCACCACTCCTCATTTTGCAGCAAGTCGTAAAACCAGCATGCCGACCTTCTGCTACTCCGTCAAATTCTCTACTTCTCGGCGGCGATCGCCGCATGCCAGGTTTGTCTGTTTTGGGGATATTTGCATGCCTTTCGTGAGACTGATGACGATAAGTTGGTGGCGATACGCATGGGAGCGCCGCCGGAGGCAGTCAGGTGACAGACGACGTGGATCAGGGAAACCAAGACTGCAGAGGTGAGGATACAGGACCCGCAGGCGGCTATATTGCGCGAGATTGCGGGGGATGCCGTCAACCACAGGTGACTCAGGCGAAAAGCGCTTCAGGTGAGTCTCGGATTGTTTGATTCACAAATGACGTCGGCAAATACTAACCTGTGTGTGTAGGTGCTGGTGTTGGGGGCTGTGGAGATAATCTGGACTCAACTGAAGCTGCCGAAGCCGTGGATATAATTTTTGGAAGTAAAAGCGCTCACGACGTTCGCCAGCCCGCTGGGCGCACATATGACAATGCTGGTGAGGTGCTACCGTCCGGTGTCACCCTTCTACTTGCTGCCGTCGGACCGCTCGGCGAAGCTGACGTC